GGGGGAGGCACTGATGAGTGGTGGGGGGCGGCCCGAGGGGCTGGGAGAGGGTCCGGCCCGCTGCGCCTGGGCTGGGACTGGTCCCGCTGGCGCAGGGTAGCAGGAAACTCTCCGCACACTTCTGGGTTTTTTAAAATTGATTTTTGCAATCTTTTCTCTCTCTCTTTCTCTCTTTTTTTGATTACTGGTGTGATTGAACCCAGTGTTTCAAGAATGCTAAGTTGCACACATTAACACTAAAATACATCCTTAGCCCTGATTTAGTCTTTGTAATGTGTCATGAAGTAATTTTGTATTATTCCAATGTAATGTTTTTACCAAGTTACCTAAAAGATACTGCTTTAATGATTTCCAGCCACTTAACACTGAACATTTTGTTATTTTTCTCGTGAAAAATTCACCTCTTAGAATATACAGTGGACAATGAATGAAAATACATCCATTATAGATTTAATAACTTATTTTCTCAGTTCTTTTTTGTTGTGTGTGCAGTGACTTCCAAATACATATATGATAGCGTCAAGCCCCTAAATATTACACTGTGTATCTGTACAAAATAAGGACATTTTCTAAAATAACAACACTGGTTTCCCACCTTACAAAATTTCTCTTTCTTTTAGACATGCAGATTCTGGTTCAAATACAAGTAATATAAATGGTCAGCACTTTGTTTACTTGTTAAAGTAGTAGGAATAGGAAGAGATATGTCTTACTGAAAGAGAAAAATCAAGAGATTCCATGAAAGCTTCTGATTGAAGAAACTTTAGAATTAAATTGTTTTGATGTTCAGATTTGCCTTCTAAGCCATCATTCTATGTTAGCAGCCAGTCTTTCATATTCTTAGGCATGAAAGAAACTGTAGGTAGGCTTTCCTTAAGCACAGATGTCTGTAGATGATTTAAGTAAAGCTCTGCTCTTTCAGACTGGTTTTGATATATTTACACTGGAGAGGTTGGCAGAGGGAAGTTTTTTTCCTTAGGCTATTTGTGAGAACCCAGTCAATACTGTTGATAAGCTTAACTTGAATCTTGAGGTACATTTATTCTCTAGGATAGTATCTGTCAGCTGACTACTTTTGGAAATGCTCTTTTTTTTCTCTCTTGTTTTCAGCCTCCCCAGCACTGGAATTACAAGTGTGTGTGTATTAGTTACTTTTCTCTCATTGCTGGGTCAAATACCCAACACTCAAAATGAGGAAAGGGAAGGTTTATTTAGCTCACAGTTATTGGAGGTTTCAAGACACTGGAAGAGAGGCTGGGGTGCTGCTGTGTCCAGGATGACCCTCTCCATATCTCTCAGAAAGTACAGGCTAGCCAGTTTAATGGTTCATGCCTCTCTGGCCCCGCCCTGGTCCTCTGGCCACGCTCTTCAAGCCATCCTTTGCTCCTCCAGCCAGCCCCATCTGCTCCATAACTTACATGAGGCTTTGGGGGGACAACTAGACACAAGTCATAACATTCTGTCCCTGGACCCCCAAAGTCTAATGTACATCCCTTTGTCTAAAAGGCATTTTAGTCCATCTCTAAGAGTTGTCAAAGTTCCAACAGTTTCAGCATTGCTGAAAAATCCAAGTCCCAAGTCTCCTCCAAGATCCAAGGCAAACTCTCAACTCTGAGCCCCTATACAAATGAAAAGTTAAATACATCCAACATTCAAAGGCATAAGATAAACATTGCCATCCCAAAAGGTGTACACAGAAGGATACAAACCATTGGGGCCAAAACAAGTCCAAAATCCAGCAGGGCAAACATTAAGTCCTATAGTTCTATGTAGAACATCTGAAGCAATCTGTGGCAAATTGTGGGCTCCGTGTGGCTCTGCCCCTATGGCACTCTTGGTGGTAGCTCCCATAGCTTCTCTCTTAGGCCAGCTTTGCTCCCTTCTTGCATTTTTCCTTAGATGATACATGTTCCTGGCCTTTCCAAATTTCTGGGGTTTCCACTGAATAGGCTTCTCACTCACAGCTTCATATACTGTCCTCTCAGGGGCACACTCCCTGGCCTCCAGGCCTTCTTCTGAAGTTAAGTTGGAAGCCTTTTTAGTCTCAGAACTCCTGCATTCTGCATGAACCTAAAACTGGTACCATGTGGATGATGCCAAGATCTCCTGCTAGCTGGAGCAATAGCCAGACTTTCCATTGTCTTGACTGTAGGGGTCGAATGCCTGGATTGCTGAGCACTCTGACCATGATTCCAAGAAACAGATTCTCTGTGCCAGTGCCATTCTGTAATCTGGTGTGGCTGCCACCTCCATTCTGGAACCTGGTGTGGCTGCTGTATCCATTTTGGAACTTGGGGCTCTGCGGCTTTCTCCTGAAAAGAAAGTCTCTCACCCTTGTGATTCTGAGGATGCAAAGGGTGAGAACCTGCCACCTACTGTGGTGCCCTCAGGACATCTTTTTTACTCTCCTGTTCCTCCTGGGCAATGGAGATCTCAGCTCTATCTTTGCCCTCCACAGCTTTATTGGAGCTTCCTTTCTGGCCAAACTTACAACATTTTAAATCATTCTCCTGGGCTCTTTGCTCTTCACTTTCAACATAAATCTGACTAACAGTCCCCAATAATAACCATGCCACTGCCCCAATATTTGACTGCTTTGAGATTTCCTTTGAAAGATGAATCAACTCTCTGTGTTTAATCTCAGTCTCAGGCAAGGCTCTGGACAGGGACAAAATTCCACAAACTTTCTGCCAAGACAAAACACAAATGATCTGGAGTCCAACAACCAATGCAGTCCTTCTTCCCAGCAGAAACTTCCCCAGCCTGGTCTTTATAGATTGGCTTTCTATCAATCTTCTGGTCTGAGCTCTGACCAGAATCTCCTCTACAGAACAGCCAAAGCTGTCCCGGTGCTTCTCTTGTAGGCAACATCTCCAAACGTTTCCTATCTCTTCCCATTAGCCATTGCCAAAAGCTGGTTATCCACATGATCAGGGTTAGCCACAGCAATGACCCCACTCATCTAGTACCAAATTCTGCATTAGTTACTTTTCTCTCATTACTGGGACAAATACCTGACACTCAAAATGAGCGAAGGAAAGGTTTATTTAGCTCACAGTTACTGGAGGTTTCAAGACACTGAAGGAGAGGCTGGGGTGCTGCCGGTCCAAGATGACCCTCTCCACATCCTTCAGAAAGCACAAGCTAGCCAGTTTAGTGGTTCATGCCTCTCTGGCCCTATCCTTCAGACCCTGCCCTGGTCCTCTGACCACGCCCCACAAGCCATCCATTGCTCCTCCAGCCCCATCTGCTCCATAACTTACATGAGGCTTTGGGGGGACAACTAGACACAAACCATAACAGTGTGACACCATACCTGGTCTCTCTGGCCAGATCACTGCACCCAGGGGCAGGGCCACTTGACATGTGGTACAGGGGATTAAACCCTTCATTCTTCTCTTTTTTCTTTTTTTATAGTTGGAATGAGTTTGGTGAAGGGCCCAGCATTATCCCATATTCAGTGTCTCCAGTGTTGGAGGCTTACTCATACTTGAAGGTAAAGGACTGAGAGCATTTGGGAGCTCTGAGTGCAGGAGGAAAATGTGCTGGCTGTCTCTCCTCTGGGTGAGCTGTGCCTGTGTGCTGGTTTTGGCCCCCTTTGCCAATATTTGTGGCCCTGCAACTATTTGGATAGTGCAGAGAAGAGCTTTTATCTCTGGGAGGCAGTTTAGGAGGAAGGAGTCTGGTGACCTTTCCTAGAGTGTTGGAGCCGTGAGGGGAAAACTGAGGAAGGTGCCAGGGTTTATCTTACCCACGAGTGTGAGTTTTGGTACGGTGTCCCCCTCTACTGTTTTTTGTGTGACTGCCTGGTTTACGCTCTGAAAGTAAAGCAGTGGTCTTGGTGAGGAGTGAGAAGAAGAGGGGTCAGGAGCTTGTCATGCAGCCCTCCAGCTACTCTGCCCTCCTTCCTTAGCCTTATCTGACATTGCCAGGTGAATCTTCAAAACATTCGTTATTGAGATGATTTTTTTTCTTTCAGTGCCTGAAGACCTCTCATTAGAAGAGAGAGAAGAACTTTTAGACATTCGTCGAAGAAAAAAGGAGCTTATTGATGACATTGAGGTATAAGCAAAACTCTTACTTTTTTTTGGGGGGGGGTGGAGTAGTGAAGAGGTTCAGGGAAATGTGAAAAATGGATGTTTGGTTGATGTCTTGTTAGAACTATACAAGCAAAGCAAAGAGTTGTCCAAGCCAGTGAAGCAGGCTCTCTACCTAGACATTACAGCTTGGGCAGAAGTCACAGTGTTGGAAGTGGAGCCTAGACTTGTGGGTGCAGAGTCATAGGGGGCAGATTTAAAGGAAAGCAACTTCAGTCTATAACACCTTGCCCTCCACAGTCCTATAGTAAAGTTGGTTGTGTTGCATGATTGTGTAATCCTAGCACTCTGGGAAGTTAATGTGGGAGGATGTCAAGTTCAAGCCGAGCCTAGGCAGTGCGTTGACTTAGTAAACCCTGTCAAAAATTTTAAAAATTATAAATTCCTGAGGATGTAGCTCAGTACAAGTGCTCTGAGCTCATTCCTCACTACCATCACCATTACACACCCAAAAATTTGGTACAATTTTGTTTGTGTATGAGAGTCAAGTACCTAGAATATTGCTTATTCCATTTTTGTCAGTTGGATGTCCTTTGATGCATAAGTATATGTTGGGTTCCAGCTACGTACCAAGTGCCTGCTAGGTGGCAGGAGCAGAATAAGAAAGATGAGTAAAACACAGATGAGTAAACATTATCATTCCCACATTTGTGTACTTTACCCAAGGGACAGGGTGGAGGACTCTTCCACAGGAGACACAAATGAATACAGCCATAGTTTCTGAGCTGGGGAGTCTGACTTTTACAAAAACCATCCAGGAGGCCTTGGCTTCCTTGGGAAAGGCTCTTCTTTGAGAAGCTTCCTAGTTATTTTCACTGCCAAAATAAATGTGGCCTCACAAGCCACTCACTCTAGGAACAGTCCTTGTCCCAGACAATACCTCCTTTCTAGTAACTCAGTTTTTAAGTCTGAATTTCTTGGCACACAAAAATAGGATTCTGAATAAAAATTTCTCTGTCTTTGAAAGATAGTTCATGGACATTTTTCTTTTAAGGTTACCCTTCAATCTTGGAAAAATCCTGGAACCCAGAATAAGTTCTTTGGCTGACAAATAAGAATATTTTATCAGGACACTAGTAATCACATTGCTGGTGAATCTGGAATCTTCATTTACTCTGACTGCATCATTCTGTCAGTGAGAACATGAAGGTCCAGAGTGCCTAGGAGGCTGCCAAGGGACTCTCAGCCAGCAGAGGCAACACCAGGGAAAGGACAAGCCTGTCCCTTCTGTTTGTGGCACCTCTGAGTACCATGGATCCAGATGGGCTTTCACTCCCCAGTCCCTATGCCTGGTGCTTTGTGTCTTCCAAAGTGAGAGCAGTCACCCTGGGATTGCTGCTCACTAACTTGATCCACCTAAATCTGAGCTCCAGCCCCGAAGTACAGGCAGTACCTGAGGGGAAGACAGGCAGCCCCTGCTGGGTAGCAGGAAATGGATGCAGTGAAGTGATTTTATCTTTTCTATCTGATGCTTCCTGTGTTCCTTCTCGATTTTACACACAAACACTCTAGAATCTGCCTGGGGCCCCTCCTCCTTAGCATCTGATGAGAGGTGGACACATGGCTCTGTTTTCTCCTGAGCTGAGCTGGGTGTGACTTTGAGGCTCCAGCTGTGTCTCCAAAGGTGCTGTGTTTCTGGACCTGCGATGAGCAGAGGATCCCTCAGGAAGCTGGTGCCTAGAAGGCTGAGGCCAGGTGGAGAAAGGTTAAGACCCCACAATTTCTTCTTTTCAATAGAGGCTGAAATACGAAATTGCAGAAGTGATGACAGAGATCGATAACCTAACTTCAGTGGAGGAGAGGTAAAGTGTTTATGGCTGTACCTGTAAGTGAGTCAGTCTCTGCTCTGTGTGTTTGTCCTCTACCTGAATTTAATAATTGGTGACCACAGCAGGGTGAGAGGGCTGACATGGGAAGCAGAGGCTTTTGGATCTGTTGAGTCCTTCCTGCCCTTGCCTCCCTTTTGTTCTCTGGGGAGGCAGAGGTTGGGGTCTCTGCAGGTTACTTCCTGTCCCCCACTTTCTCTAAGTCCCCTCCTACCACAGTCTTACAGGCAGGCACTCAGAATTAACTACCCAAAAACAACTTTTCTGTGTCATAAGGAACCAACCTCTTTTATTTAAAAAAAAAAAAAAAAAGTCACTGGTTTTCATCATCAGCTTTTTCAGAAGTGTATCTCAAGTGATCACAGGCGAATAAAGTGCCAAAGCAGCCACACACCTCCCTCCAACAGTGGAGGGCAGCAGCTCCAGAGTGCACCAGTGCTCTGCTTTTCACTGAGTATTGTGGGAGGGAAAATGTGCTAAGGGCTGTGCCTTGCTATGCTGTGTGAGACACTGCTCTCAGTCAATCCTGGCTAATGATTTTTCCATTATTTCAAATGAATAGCAAAACCACTCAGAGGAACAAGCAAATAGCCATGGGAAGAAAGAAATTCAACATGGACCCCAAAAAGGTAAATGCATACTTCCAGTTTTCTGACATGCAGCCAACTGACTGATCTATTTTTAATGGCTGCCTCTCTTTTGGCAAAGCTGGTCACTTCCTAAAAAGATGGAATTGACATTATTGTTTTTAAAGTGGGGGTGACTGCTTAATGAAGCCCCAGAAGAGGACCCTTTGTTTAGTTCTTGCTGTGGTGCCCCATCCTTGTGTTTTATCTCCTAAGTTCTCTTGTGATAAGGCTCTAATATAGGGCCTCACATGATTAGTTGCTTGAATTGGGAGTGGAATCCAGATATAGAGTTCATAGATTTCATTGTGTGAATGGGTTGCTTAGTCCAAGAGGATCCTTCCCTTCTTCCTCCCTTCATTCCTCCTTTAATCTTTCCCTTCCTCCTCCTTTTTCCTTCCTCCCTCCCTTCCCTCTCTCCCTTGCTCGCTCGCTCTCTTCCTTCCTTCCTCCTTCCCTGTCCTCCCTCCTTTCTCCCCTGTCTTCCCTCCCTCCCTCCTTTCTTCCTTCTCTTTTTCTTTCTGTCTTTGTCTCTTCCTCTTTCTCTGTCTCTCTTTGTCTCTGTCTCTGTCTTTATCCTCTTTTTCTTAATTGTTTATGTGTTTGGTTCAGGGTCGTGCTACACAGCTCAGACTCATAGTGATCCTCCTACTTTGTCCTTCCTAGCATTGAGATTAAAGGCCTGTGCCACGATTCCCAATTTCTGTAGCCAGCACAGTGCGCTGGAGGTTCCAGGGCCAGTATGGCATGTGGTACCAGGGCTCAAAACGGGGACTTTGCACTTGTCAGCTATCTCCCCAGACCTCTCTCACCGTCCTTTTTTTTTTTTTTTTTTTTTTTTTTTTCCCCCTTTTTTTTTTTTTTTTTTTTTTTTTTTTTTTTTTTTTTTGCAGAACTGGGGATTGAACTCAGGTTCCTTGCGCTTGCCAAGGAAGCACTTATTCCACTGAGCCATCTCCCTGGCCCCTCACCCTCCTTTTTGAGGCAGGGTTTTGAGATGCAGTTCAAGCTGGGCTTGAACTCACTTTGTAGCCCAAGCTGGGCCTAAACTCACAGTGGTCCTCCTTCCTCAGTCTCCTGAGTGCTGGAGTTACAGGCATGTACCACCACACTTAGCCAGAAGAGTATATTTCTTCCTTTTGCTTTCAGGAAGTCTCTGAATGAAAGAGCAAGGAACCCTTGCAAATTTTAGCCACCACGTTTTTTGAAGTTAGATTTTCTAGGACATTGCCTCAAGACAACAAAAACTGCTTTTTTTCAGATTGAGATATAAGGATTTGGCACAATCTGTAAAAGCTGTTTGATTTGAGGAGAGAAGAGTAGACCTGAGTCAGCCACAGAGGCTTGAGATCCAGGAGAGGCAAGGGCACAGAAAGTCATTCTGACCACAGAGCTAGTATATTCCCTGCTTGTGGTCTGTGACTTGTATTTACTTCTGACGTTTTCCTTCTTTGTCTGACACCAAACCTCAGTACTAATTGTTAAATTGTTTATTCAATAAATGTTGATTCATTATAAGAATTGCATTGCATAGGGTCTAAGATTTGTAAACTTACATTTATAAGTGAAGTTACAAATGATATATAACTTTTCTCTTGTTTCTGAGACAAAATACTTGATGCCCAAAATTAAGGAAGGAGAGGTTAATTTAGCTCACAGTTTGTGGAAGTTTCAGTCCATCATCAGCTGGCTCCAAGGCAGTGGCACATGGCAGAGGGTGCGCAGTTCATGGCAGCAGAAAACAACAAAAGCAGTATAAGCAAAAAGAGAGGAGGAGAAGAAAGCAAGTCTCTTTCCCTTCCTTTTTTTGGTATGTAAACTACCTGACCCAGGGTGGCTGTAGCACTCACACCCATAATCCCAGCACTGGACAAAAACTTTAGAAGTCTGCACCATAACTGCATGAGACTTTGAGGGGACATCTAGACACCATTGCAATGTATATCTTTATTTGGTATATCTTTATTTTGATATTTAAGATATATATCAAGCTAGGTGAAGTATAACATGCCTGTGTTCCCACCCTTTTTGCAGGCCGAGGCAGGAGTGCTTGAACCAGTGCTGAGAACAACCCAGGCAACATAGAGAGGCCTGTGTCACTGTTTTCATTTTTTCCTCATCTATAGTTTGCAGGTTTGGGTTTTCTTAGAGCACAGCACACCTATAAGTAGGGTAGGGTTTTGTTTATCTGGTATGTTCTAACCACTGTGAAACTGCCTTTTTTTTTTTTTTTTTAATTTTAGGGAAGGGTCTACAGGATGTTTAGGGTCTTCCTACTAGATCGGACTCGTAGTGATCCGCCTATTTACAGTCTCCCAAGAGCTGGGGTTACAGGCACATGTGACCACACCCAGTCTCAATTGCCATCTCAACATGCCCCAGGGGCAGGGCTGGCACAACATGCCTGGGGATTGAACCCCCTGCCCCTGTGCCTGTTTGCAGGCACTTTAATCTGCTGAGCTATTTGGCCAGTCCTTCTGTTGCTTCTTAATTCAACTCCAGAATGGCATGAAATTGTGGGCAGGAATGATTTTGTGGATTTGATAATGATTTGCTACTTGGCGTTAGTGTCAAGGTTTTTTTTTTTTTTTTCTTTCTTTAGGACTTGAGTTTGTTGAGTTAAATTAGCAAATTTTATATACATTGGAAGTAATAATGGATGTTTTATAACACGAATGTTTTTAGAGCTAAAACTCATGTTTTAGCTTGCTTATAGATAAATTAAAATCTCACGAAACACAAAGTACTGTAAATAATGATTTTTTAAAAAAAGTGATGTTACCACTGTGCATTGTGAGCCAGTTTTGTAGGTGTAAACTTGCCTTATGCTTAAGCTGTCCTTGCTGTCAGTTCTTGGTTGCCATCTTTCTATGTAGCACATGTCAATAGTACAATAATAAGGGCAAACATAGAGAATTTCATGTTTGTCAGGAGGCACAGAGGGAAGCACTTCCATTAATGTACTTAGTCCTTACAACAACTTAGGAGGCCGGGAAATTCCATTTTAATTCCTGGCTCACATTTGGGCAGAATGAGACACAGAGCACCTGAGGAGGACCCACCTCCTGAATAGGGACCAGGACTGTAAGATGCAGTCCTGCAACTGTATCTGCCTGCTGAGTAGAGCCATGGGTTCAGCTCATAAGAAGCTGAATTCTGACAGTGTAGTCATCCCATGGCGTCTGCTTGTCAAGGGAAGTAGGAGTTTAATCGGGCTGTCATGAGTGACTTAGCAGACTTTGTGTCCCACTTCACCTAAAAGATACATTTTTTAAAAATAAAAATTTTAGTACATATTTATCCCTAGTGAATACTGTACATTCCTTCTGCGGAGTTGGTATATGGATCTAGCATGTACTAATTCTTTTCTTCATCTCCTGCCACTCCTTTCCTTCTCTCTTCCATCTCTTGATCCCCTTCCCATTTGAGAAAGATCTGTCTCCCTAATTACTATTTATATTTTTACTTTGCTCTATTTTATAATTTAGATTTCTCATATAAGGGATACCAGGCAATTTTAAAAGCTTTGCATCTAATTTGTTTCCCGTAAGATTATGGTCTCAAGGTGCATCCATTTTTCTACAAATTTTTCTTTATGGCAGAGTTATACTCCATTGTATGTAAATATCATATTTTCTTTATCCATTCATTGCTAATGTGCATATAGGCTCCTTCCATCTGATTCTTCTTAATAGCTTATCTGTAATTATGCTCCCCAATAAAAGCAGAAGTTACATTTAGTCTGTCTTTGGGCTTTTGCTGGGAAAAATATCAAAATTATTTTGTTTATAGTCTTGCTTATGGCACTTGTCCTAGTCATCTGGCCACCATGAGAAAATACTGTGGATGAGGGGCTTAAACAATGGACACTTATTTTCTCATATATCTGGTACTAGAATGCTGCTCAGCTGAGTTCTAGTGAGAGCCTCCTCTTTGTTTGCAGATAGTTTCCTTCTTGCCGAATCCTCACATGTCCAGGGAGGGAGTAAGTTCACTCCAGGCTTTCTCTTCCTAAAATGGCAAATCTTAACCCAGGGGGCTCTGCTCAAATGACTTGACCTAACCCTAGCTGCTCCCAGGGGCCCTGTGTATAAGTAGGGTCACTGTATGGCTTTGGGCTTTAGTACATAAAGTTTGAGTGAGACACAGATATTTAGTCTATAGCCATAGCAGATAGCCTCATATGTTGCTGATGCAATTCAAAATTATATATTTTTCCATATTCTCATAGGCCTTGTAATATTGTGAATCATGAAGATATTCTGAAAATAAAGTCTTTCAAGCTGCCAGGGAGGTGATAACATTTTAAGGAAGGAACTTTGTTTTGTTCAGGTACCTTAGACTCTAGACAGGGTGGTTTAGACTAAGGAGACTAAAAACATCCTCCTACCCTTTAGATTCCAAGTGTTTCAGTGATTCCCAGTGTCCTTTATTTTCCCAGAATCCTTTAGATTCCCAGTATTTAAGAAAAATACTTAAACTTAGAACAAGGAGTTTAGTGAAGTAGAAATTGAGGGCCGTGCAAGGAAGAAGGTACATGAGGTCAGTGAGGAAGAAATGATGCCCAAGTCATGTGATGCCCAGGCACAGTGCCCACCACCTAAATTCTGTTCCACCAAGTTGTAAGAGGTCGCTGAATTAGAAACTTAGAGCAGACAGCATCCAGGAGGTGCCAAGACTCACAAAGATAAACTCCCAGCCACATACTGGAAATCACATACTGGAAATCCCAGACACTTGTGGAAATCACCACCTGACAGAAACAAATCTGGACAAACGGAAGAACTGAGACAGGAGGAAACAGGCCTTGTAGTAACAATGGAAGGAAACTTTGAAGTAGGGTATTTGCATAGATTATGAATATCATCAAAGAGATTGATAGGGTTGGTCCTTATGTGTGATAGCAAAGTGGGGTGTTGAAAGAATGTTGTAAATAACTAGGGGTGCCATGTGCACTCTGGGCTACATGGATTTGAGGCCTACAGAGAGTGTAGTCCTTCTCTCCACCTATTTTCACGGAGTTACAAGACATGGGAGATGAATCCAGCAGACCATATTTCATCCAATCAGTCTCAAACAATTTAAAATGGAACACAAGAAATGGTTCAAGGGACTGGGGAGATAGCTCAGCAGTTTAAGTGCCTTCCTGGCAAGTGCTAGGACCTGGGTTCCATCCCTGGTACCAAATGCTGTGCCAGCCCCAGAACCTGGGGCATGCTATGCTGGCCCTAAAACCAGACATGGTGGCCTACACTTGTAATCCCAGCACTTGGGAGGCTGAGACAAGAGGGTTACTAAGAGGCTGAGCTGCATAGTGAGATCCTTACCAAATAAAAGATTAAAACAGAATTTAAAAAAAGAAATGTTTTAAGGAAACCTGGGGTTATTTTAGAATAAGTATAAGACAAAATCCTTAGATTCACAGGCTTTAGTAAATGCTAAGCAGTATAAATTTTTGAAATACCTATATATAGATATATTGAACAAAATAACACAAATCTTGTGGTAAACAGAAAGTCACTAAATTGTCCAGGAAGAAAAGAGTAAGCCATCTAAGAAGAAATGAGCTTGTTATCAGGAAACACTGGATCAGAGAGAGCAGGGAGACAGTTCCAGGCTTGGAGGAAAAATGACTTAAAACTGAGAATTGTGTTGACCCAAACTGACACTCAGAAGAAGGACAAATAAAGACATTTTCATTCATCCATTTCCAGAGTCTAGTAATTGAGAAGCTGCAAGGTTATACTTCCACCCCCTCCCAAAATGAATCTATTAGATAAAAAGATGTGTGATATTTATAGATAAGCCAGGTATGGGAGCTCAAGCCTGTAATGCTAGCCTTTGAAGACTAAAGCAAGAGGGTCCCAAATCTGAGTCCTGCCTGGGCAATTTGTGAGATCATCTCAGAATTATTATATATCTACATCAATATCTGCACACACTCACACACACACACACACACACACACACACAATTTTTTTTAAAGAGAAGAGCAGGATATGTAACTCAGTTGATAGAGTATCCCTGGGTTTAATACCCTGATATTGGCAGGGGCAGTGAGATGGGGTGGGGAGCGCTTACAGTTAAGTCTAAATGATAAAATGAAAAGACAAATAAAAAGGCTAAGTAGGAAAGTAAGGTTTCCTAGATGCTAATAGGTAAATATAAGTTTAGATAGTTGTTGAAATTTTAAGAGGAGCCACTAGAGATAGGAATTAAATACAATTTACAAATTACTAAGGAAGCTTGAATAAGGAAAACTTGATCAGTTTAACAAAGGGCTGAAAAGGCACGTGAAATAGCACAAAATAAGAGGCCAGGAATACATCCTCATGAATCAATCATAAGTCTGACCAGGTCAAATTAAGTTCTTAAAAAACAGAGACTAGGGCCGGAGAGAGAGCTCAGTGGTCTAAGTGCCTGCCTGGCAAGCGCAAGGACCTGGATTCAATCCCCAGTACCTCATGCCATGCAGGCCCCATGCAGCCACCAAAACAGGGCATAGTGTCACACGCCTGTAATCTCAGCACTGAGGAGGCTGAGATTGGAAGATTGCTATGACTATGAGTCTGAGCCACATAGCAAGACCTGGTACCAAATAAATCAGTAAAATATTCAAAACAAAACAAAAAACAGAAACTAGCACTCAAGAGGTTGAGGCAGGAGGACCTAGAGTTGAAAGCCAGCCTGGGCTAACTACATAGGGAGACCCCATCTCAAACAAAACAAAGCTGTGTTACTAAATTTTTTAAAATTCCAGCTTCTGCTGGGAAGATAGTTCAGCAGGATAAGTTCCTGCCTGGCAAGCACAAGAACCCTATTTTGATCCCTGGCACTGCTAAGTAAGTAAATAAATAAATAAAATACAATGAAATTTCAGCTTCTTCTAAGGGACAGACATAGGGCAAAAAAGACAGGTTAGAAATACACAACTAAATACTGAGTTTAGTGTGTTGAATGGTGGCCAGTGTTTTCTGTTTGATTTTTCTAAGCAGCATTTTATGTTTATATATTTATATTTGTATTTTTATTTTTTTAATTTATGTATTTGGTACAGGGTCTTGTTATGCAGCTCAGACTTATCGTGAGTCTCCTATTTCAAACTTCCCAGCACTGGGATTGTAGGTGTGCCCCACCACATCCGGTTTCTGTGGCTGGCTCAGTGGGCCTGGTGTGGGGCTGACTGCATGTGGTACCAGAGATTGAACCTGGTTCCTTGTGCTTGCCAGGCAGGCGCTTAGACACTGAACTATCTCTGGCCCTTTATTTAATTTTTAACTTTTATTTATTTGATACAGGGTCTTGCTGCACAGTTCAGACTCAGTGATCCTCCTGTTTGATCCTTCCCAGCACTGAGATTACAGGTGTGCCCTACCATGCCCAGTTTTGGATCCAACACAGCACTAGGTACCAGGGATCATTTTTATTTATTTGATTCAGGGTCTTGCCAGGCAGGCACTTAGACTGCCAAGCTATCTCCCCATTCCCTAAGCAGCATTTTAAAATATTAAAAATTTTTAATGAAACATTTGCTTTCTTTTATAATTACCTACCCAATTTAAGAGTGTCCTAGGGCTGCCTTAGCAAATTAGCCATAAATTGCATGGCTTGTTTTGCAGTTCAGGAGGCCAGAATCCAAGATCAAGGTGTTGTTGTCTGAACCTCTGAGGGAGAATCCCTTCCAGCCTATCCTGCGTGTGGTGGTGCTCCTTGGCCTGTGGGCACATTAGTCTTTGCCTCTACTTTTCACATAACTGTCTCTGTTCTGAGGCCACTTGTCACTTGCTCAGAGCAGTCTGCTCCTATATACTTCTCTCCTTTTCTGGCTGCCTCCTCCTCAGTCTTAGGTTCAAAACTGCTTTTTGTCTCAGGCTTTTGCTGCTGTGTATCTTTGGGTCTCTGATCTGAGCTTGAACAGTGGCTGTCTCTTTCCTATGACAGTGGCCTCCATCTCTTGCAAAGGAAGCTTTTCCTCCCCAGGGGCCTCTTCTGTCTCTAGTTTGTGACCAAGAAGCATAGAAATTACCTTGTTTGAGCCTGTTTCATTTTCTCAAATCCTTATAGGTCATTTCACAGCACTAAGATTCATCCTAGTTTTAGGGGTATACTGACTTGCATGGACAGGTCATAAGTGTCCAGAACAGTCTCTTCCCCAGGCCCATTCACTTTTCGAGACTTTGGGCAGCACTGGTGGAAACTTTGGCTTTTTCAACATCTAGCCCCCAGCTTTGTGGCCACAGAGATTATAGGACAACTAAGAGGGGCAGAAACAGCAGGTTGGGAAGGTTGAAGAGCCTCTAAAAGCCATGGCCCTTCCAAAGCAACCCTTTGTGTTGCTCAGCTCTTTAAGGAGGTCAGCTTCCCCAGCCTTCAGTGTCATGGTCATAACCCCGGTGATCACCAGTAACCAGGCCAGGGACCAGCCCCAGCCCCCACCTCTACTCATGGGGATCCCTTTGTCCTGGATGTCTTTGGTTCCTTTTAGACATCCTTCTCTTGCTCCTGGCCATTTTTTAGGGCAGCAAAGTTTATTATCTGTATTCACTGTACTCTGGTGAGTGTGTGTGTGTGTGTGTGGGTGTGTGTGTGTGTGTGCGCGTGCGCATGCATGCAGGGTCTCACTATTCAGCTTGGACTTGCAGTGATCCTTCTGTTTTCAGCCTCCCAAGTGCTGGGATTACAAGCATGTGCCACCATGCCCAGACTGCATTGCTGGCTCAGCATGCCCGAGGACAGGGCTGGCACAACATGTGGTGCCAGGGATTGAACCCTGGCCCCTGTGCTTACCTGACCAAGCACTTAGTCTACTGAGCTATCTCACTGGCCCTGAATCCTTATCATTTGAAACAATTATTTATAATAGTTTGTTCAGAAACCCATTTATTTGTCCTTTATCCTGTTAAATTGCCAGAAGACATGTACTTTTCTTTGATGGATAAAATGTAGTGTGGTATTGTAAAAATCAGGTTGTGCAATTCCATAGGTTTCTGATGTTTTTTCTGTGTCCGAACCACTAAGATCATCACACTGTTTCTGTCCTTAAAAACTGAGTTTAAGTAACCTTCCTAACTGGTGCTTCCTCTCTTATGCTGTTCTTCAGGGAATTCAGTTTCTAATAGAAAATGACCTGCTACAGAGTTCCCCAGAAGATGTTGCCCAGTTCCTCTATAAAGGAGAAGGCCTAAATAAGACTGTCATTGGGGACTACCTGGGTGAGAGGTAAGTTGGAGGAGAGTGACCCTTAGTGAGACACTCCTGCCATGCAGATCTACATCCTGATCAGACCCACCGTTCTCTTAGGAGTGCTTACAACTTAGCTGCGGGACACAGGGGCATATGTACTGCCCTCCAGCAGCTGGGAGCCTGGTATGGTCATTCCATTCCATTTCTGTGCAATGTGAGGAATGTTACAGAGTCTGGGGCTACATGGGATCAGTATTCCTTTGATACTATTCATGCCAGAACCCAAGATGGAACTGACAATACTGTTGTCTGTCTGTCTGTGTCTGTCTGTCTGTCTGTCTGTCTGTCTGTCTGTCTGTCTCTCTCTCTCTCTCTCTCTCTCTCCCTCCCTCCTCCCCTTTTTTTTTTTTTTGCGGACCCAGGGATTGAACTCAGGCCCTTGTGCTTGCCTGGCAAGCACAATTCTACCGAGCTATGTCCCCGGCCTGTTTTTCTCCTCTTTATAAGCCTCTTCATCTTGCAAAAATCTGAACCAGAAATGGCCTACGTTTCTCAAGGGTTTTCTTTCCTCTGTCATTTAGGGTGGCAGTAAAGACAGGAAGTTAGTAATGTCTTGAACAAAAAGCAGCAGGTCAGATTTAATTTCTGTGTTGTGTTGTTGTATCTTGTTTTAGACCAGGTCTCACTGGATTGCCCTGGCTGGCCTCAGACTCATGGTGATCCTCCTACCTCAGCTGTGTGGATGCTGGGACTACAAGTGTGTGCCACCATGCCCAGCTCAGATTTATGTACACACCTCCGATAAAATCCCTTTCTTGTGTTCAGCAGAGGTTAGGCAGGAATGCTGAGCAACACATGCAGAGTGTGCCAGGACAGACTTGTCAAGGACCTCAGCACATGTTATTGAACAAAATTACAATCAGGATGCTTACTATTTTTAAACTTTTTATTGAAAACATTTGTCAAGTGTAATGGAACATGCCTATATTTCCAAACCTCTTGGAGACTGAGGTAGGAGAATCACAAGTTCAAGCCCAGCCTGGGTAGTTTAGTGACTTAGATTTTTGTCTCAAAATTTTAAAAAGGTAAAAAAAAAAAAAAAAAAAATTAAAAAGGTGTTGGAAGTTGGATATGGTGGCAACACACCTGTAATCTTACAACTGGGATGGGGGTAGGAGGGCTGCCATGAGTTGGAGGCCAGCCTAGGCTACACAGTGAGTTCAAGGTCTTTGTGAACTAATAGTGAGACCCTGTCTCTAAAAACAAAGTAAAACAAAAAGTGTTGGAGGTATACCTCAGTGCTAAGACCTTAGGCTTAATCCAAGATCAATCAATCAATCAACGCATGCTTGGTTGAAAGTGGAACATTAGACCATTCTGTGAGATAAATATTACCTGATACCCAAATCAAAGATATCAGAAAAAAAAGGAAACTACAGACCAGTATCACTTAAGAGTATACAAACAAAAATTTTCAACCAATTTTTAAAAAATGAAATCTAGCAATATATAAAAAGGATTATGCATCAATTTATGCCACCATTATAGGAATAGTTTAACAAATGAAAGTCAATTAACATAACATCATGTGATTATGTGAATAGACTAAAACCCATATGATTGCCCCAATAAGTGCGAGAAAAGCACTAGTAAAATTCAGCACCACTAGCTGGAGGTGAAAGCACAACACTCTAGACTGAGACAGGAGAGTCACAAGTTTTGACCTGGGCAACTTAAGCAACTTAGACCTGTCTGAAAATACAGAAGAGAGCTGGAGATGTAGTTAATGTGCAGGCTTTGTGTTTAGTCCCCAGGATGTACGTACTTACATACATGTGACACTACTTTTGAAAAAACACTCAAATGCTCAACAAATTAGAACTGAAAGATGACTTCCTCAACATGATGGCAAGCACCTAAGAAAATGTAACATTCTACTAGTGGTGAAAGCATATTTTTTGCTTAAGATCAAGAGCAAGATCAGAGTATCTGCTCTCACTACTTTTATTCAGAATCATACTGGTGCTTCTAGCCAGGGGAGTTGGGCAAAAAAAGAGAGAGAGAAAGAGAAAGAAAGACAGGTAGAAGGGGAAAAAACAAATAAAATTATCTGTATTTGCAAATGGCATGATACATTTCTGAGGAATTACTGGAAAAATATTAGAGTAAGCAAGTTTAGTAAAATTATAGGGTATAAGATCTCAGAACTCATTTGTATATTTATACAGCATCAGTGAACAAACAAAGGATATTAAAGGATTTGTTGGAATAAGGTAGCATAAATACAAGTTTATCCCCAAAAATGCAAGCTTTTTACCCTGATAACGATAATGTTGAAAAAATTTGAAATATTCAAACAAGGTAGACGTGCATTGCTCAGAAAACTTAATATTGCTAGGATAACAGTACTCTTCACATTCAGCTACATTTTTGTTTTTTTCTCGGAACTGGGGATTAAACTCAGGCACTTGTGCTTGCCAGGGAAGCACTTATTCTACTGAGCCATCTCTCCGGCCCTCCTTTTTTTTTTTTTTTGTCCTAATGCCCTCGGGTGGTTTGGCTGGCTGGAGTGTTGTGGGGATCGAACTACAGCAACCTGAGGCTGACAGCTTTGTGGAAGCAGCCACTTAAACAACTGAGCTAAGGCCAGGCCCCCTCAGCTACATTTTTTTATGTAGGAAAAATAATTTTATAAAGGTAGAAACAAGCATTTACATAATTTTACAAAGACATTTAGAATTCTAACCATATACAGAATTGTAACAGGACAGACCTGTGACATTTTTTTTTCTTATTCTTGTGACTTTTTTCATTTATTACCCTTAAAAAAAAAACTTAACTTGAGAGACATTATGGCAATAAATGGTATATCATGACAAGAAGTACATATTTAGAAGACCAGGATGGCAGGCACTCCAAGCGTGACCCATCTATTACACATCGCCATCCTCAGTACAGCCACCTGGCTCACAGGTGCCAGCATATAGAGTTAGTCAGGGGGAGAATCTCACCAGCCAACCGCTAGTCTCAAAAACCTGCTGATGTACCCCAGGATCACTGCCCCACCCATCTCGTGCATACAAATGCATGGCTTTGCCCCTGTCATGTTTCTCAGCTTTTCTCCTTGACCACTCCTCATTGTCCAATCCTCAAGTTCTAGCTTTCCTTTTATTTGTATTGTAACTTTCTATATGTAATTCCTCTTTTAAGTTCTTATACTAGGGAGGCAATACGATATTTACACATGTGAGTCCGGTTTATTTCACTTATAAGTATATCTTCAAGTGGCATCCACTTAAATATGAAGGCTTCGAGTTTATCATTCTTTATAGCTGAGTAATACTTCATTATATAAAAGTACCACATCTTTTTCATCCATTCCACATGTGACGGGCATCTTGGTTGTTTCCAAGATCTGGCTATCACAAATTGTGCTGCTATAAACATAGGTATGCATATATCACTGTGATATGATGCTTTCAGTTCCTCCAGGAAAATTCCTAGTAGGGGGATAGCAGGCTTGAATGGAATTTCCAGTCCTAGTTTTTTAAGGAGTCTCCACACTGATTTCTGTAATGGTTGTACCAATCTACACTCCCACCAACAGTGGAGAGGGGTTCCCTTTTCCCCACAACCTCTCTAACATTTGTTGTTGGTTGATTTCTTTATGATAGCCATTCTTTCTGGGGTGAGATGGTATCTCAGTGTTGTTTTAATTTGCATTTCACGGATGGCTAGTGAGGTGGAGCATTTTTTCATATATTTATTCGCTTCTTTAATTTCATCCTCTGAGAAGTATGTGTTCATCTTAGATGCCCATTTCTGGATTGGGTCTTTAAATTTAGGGGCCCTAATGTTCTTTAGTTCTTTATAAATTCTAGAGAGCAGACCTTTGTCTGAGAGCTTATTAGTTAAGATTTTTTCAAAGTTTCTGGATTGTCTTTTCACTGTGTTGGTAATTTCTTTTGATGTGCAAAAACTTCTTAATAAGAGGTGGTCCTAGTTGTTAATTCTTTCAAGTATTTCTCGTGCGATTTGATTTTTATTCATGGACTCTTTGCCTACCCTGTGTCTTCAAGAGATCCTCCTACTTTCTCTTCTAGGAGATTTAGTGTTTCTGTTTTAAAGTTCAGTTCTTTAATCCATTTTGACTTTAGTTTAGTGCATGCTGATAAACCTGGGTCCAGTTTTAGTTTTCGGCATGTAGAGGGCCAAATTTTCCAACACCATTTGTTAAAGAGACTATCTTTCTTCCCGTAAGCGTGTTTGGCCCCTTTGTCGAAGATCAGGTGGCTGAGTGCATTCCTAGAGGCCTCCATTTTTTTTTAAAGACAGGGTTTCACTATGTAGTTCAGGCTGGCCTTGAACTTACTGTGTAGCACAGGCTGGTCTCTAACAGTTATTTTCTTGCCTCAGCCTCTTGAGTGCTGGGATAATAGCCATGTGTGAACATGGACGCCTGACCTACATATTTAATACACAACCTATCACAGTCCTAGCTGACTTTTTTTTGCAGAAGTTTGTAGGCTTATCCTAAAATTCATAGTGTACTTTAAGTGACCTAGAATAGCCCCAGTCTTGAAAAAAGTTCAAAGTTGGAAAACTCATACTTTCTCTTTACAAAATAAACTCTACTAATCAAAACATAATGGTGATGATGTAAGGATAGACATATGAAAGGTCATCAAATAGAATTAAAAATCCAGAAATAAAGTCCGACATTTGATGTCCAATGACTTTTTAACAAATGTTCCATGACAGTTTCAGTGGGGAAAGAATAGTCTTTCCACAAATGGTACTCAGATATATAAGAAATTTAAAGGGAGCAAAGAACCTAATATAAGAAAAAAAAATTAAAATATTTAGATGAAAAAGTGAATAAATCTTTGTGATCTTGATTTATACCAGTTTCTTAGCTCCAACACCAAGACCATAACTACAAAAACATAAGTAAAGTAGACATCAAAATTAAATATTTTGCTTGTCAGATGATATCAGCAAGACAGTGAAATGACAACCCCTTCAACAAGAGAAAACATGCAAATCATAAATCTGATAAGGACATCTAGGATATATAAGTAAGTCTACCAATTGATCATCCAAAGCTCTACACACTGTGAAATAAATGTTTAGAGCGCCAACATTGTACTCAAGTTTTAGATTTGGTAGCATTTTAGATTTTCAGATTAGGATGCTCAGCTTGTATTACAATCCCCAGAGAATGGATGTGGCTAAGGAAGAAGATGAAGCAAAGATTGAGCCTGGAAGACTCCAGCCCAGGGTGGGAGTAAGGACATGTGGAAGGGGAGTGGGCAGAATGTCAGACAGACCCTTCATTTCCCCTGCCCACATGGGGGGCTCCACACTGGCTGTAGTAGACACCGTGTGCACCAGGAGGGGCCAGGCCTCCCCCAGGTACAGTGTGCATAGCTGAGCCCTTTACAGAACTCCCAACAAGTGGGCTGCCAGCTTTGCCAGGGAGGGAATGCTGTGGTTTTCAGGTCAAGTCTTATTTCCCCAATTGAGCAGGACTGGTCACAGGTGTCTTCCATGCTTGGTTAGAAAATGTTTGGCTGCAGAGTGCTGGCCTGCATGAATTCCAACTAGCTTGTGTCACTGCCAGCCTGAGGGGTAGGTGGACCCCGTGTTCTGCTGCTGGGGCTCTTCAGTGAAGCTTGTTACCTGGACCCACAGCATCATCTTCAATTTAAAGTTTAGTGAGGCACATGGCTACAGCATTTTGGGTTTTGTTGTATTTAAATAAATTTTATACCTTTTACTATACTTTCATGTTTATTTTTGAAAAGCTAATATAAGGTGTTCTTTCCCATACTTTCTTAGCCAGCATAAACCTTACAATATGTGGACTTGAAATGGCCTTGGGGTCATTTTAAAGGCCATAGAACATACACTGAGCATTGGGCAGCCTCTCCACTTGATGCTTTGGTGCTCATAGTTGGCAGTGGCAACTGTCATTTGGGCCTTTATAAAGGTCTCCTTCCTGATGTAATTGAATCTCTCGGGTGTACCCCTGTTGTCCTATTTATTCTTTTCTGCATTAAGCTTGAAAACTAATTTTTAGTGAAGAAAATCTTTTTTTTTCTTTATCAAATCTTTATTTTTTCATTTTAATACAAGACAAGTAAATATTTTTTTAACTCTTTTTTATTTTTTTTATTTCTTGACATCAGTTATTTTTATTTTAAAGAAAAAAAATAAAAACAATGGTACAAAATCTCAAAACAAGATTTTAGGAGAGTAACAATGGTTAGTACATTGTGAATTGTTACTGCCAAAGTACTTTCTCATATTACAAGATATAGGCAAGAAATAATAAATAAACAACATAGGTACAAACCTCTGTTTTGTCTTTTTTTAAGTCAACAGAAA